CACCCGATGAACCCCCCAACGCACAGGTCTTCACGCAAGGGAAGTCCAATAGGGCGAAACCGTTCTGCCGAGGGAACGAGTACTCAGGGCGACCGAGAATATCCAATTGACTTTCCTGAAATTGGAAAAGCTCCACGTCGAAGGACGGTACGTAAGGAGATCAAGAAAAGGGGGAAACAATAGGACAAGAGAAAAAAAAGGGGGAGCAATATGGACAGGAATAAAGGGATAGCAGTACCTACGTGGAACGCCAATGGGTATGGCAGTCCTTTATCCAGAAAATATACTTGAATTTTTCAACGACCCGACGAACAGCAAACGTTTACGAACCATTGCTTGCTGATATCTCGAGAATGAAATGGACAGAAGGCACTTTTCGTCCCTGCACCATCTTTGCCGGGAAGAGTCTGGAAGGTTTTCGCCGAACGCCGTAGAGAAAAGGAAGCGAGAGACAAAGGCATAAGTATCTCTCTCTCGAAGAAGAAGAAAAAAAAAAAAAAAGTACATCAATTTAATTCCTAACGCCTTGAAGTAGTAATAGCAATAGCCGATAACGGCGAATCCAGGAATACAATTTTCGTCCGTATCATACGAAACGAATTAAACCGATCGGGAAGAATATTACCTAGGAATTTACAGGAGAACCTAATAAAGTTTAATAGTCCAAAGAGACAAGGTAGTTGCACGCGCAGGCGAGGTTGAAAATATATACCTGGACTATGTTGCTCGTCGAGCAGATTCATTGTCTCTCTTGGAACTTGAAGAACCTCTCGAATCTTAACGGGACGAAGTATAATGTAACTAAGTGATCAAAGAAGAATCGTGACGCCCAATGTAGAATCGAGTAAAGGTCGTGAAATTCAGTGCTTTTACCATCGTGGACAACTGTCGGTAATCGAAAGACGATTATTAGAAATTTACTGGACTACGATACGTCAAAGGATCTGTAATATCGATCGATTTTCGGTCAGACCGTCTGACGCAGATGGCTCGGCTGCGCATGTGGCATAAGGTCAGACTGGATATATTCGGAAGGAAAGGTCACGAAAGAAGGATACAGTCCGAAGAGCAATGAGAATCCAGAGATGGGCGAGTTTCTTTAAAAGAAAGATTTCGGGACGTGTCTCGGGAAATATCTTGTGAGAGGATCCTGAATGGAGTCTGGTCTCCCTTTAACGACAGGGTCGTAGGATATTTCACGTGAGGGCGTTGTAAAACTTTTCGTTTGACTGTCGTATTGTGTAATGACGGTAGGCGGTAAACTGGGACAAACTTTAAAGATGCGAATCGTTCTTCGGGGCTCTCAGGAACGATAAGGTGTCTCGAAATAGAGGGAACAAAAAAAAAATAACAATTTTCAACGACGCCCATAGACCGCTCAACTGCGTACTACTATACTCGCGAGAGTAGACATCATTAGTTTTATGGTGAGACAGTAAATTTAAATGCAATAGGGGAGAATTCACAATAAATTTCATATTCTATTGCAAACACATTTCTCCCCCTCGATGCGAGAGATAATTTAATGCATACTCGAGAGTCATTCCGGCTTTCGCCGCAGTTTCAGCGAGCCAACGAGATTTCTTGGGAAAAAAAAAAAAAAAAAAAAAAATACAATTAACCCAGTTCCTTCTCGATAACGAAAAAATTGCCATAATATCTAATAAATTTTCCACAACTTTTCGGTCCCCCTTAAGTAAACGCTTCTATCACTCAGCCGCTCCGACGAACGGAATTGCAAATGCTGAAATAACATAGTTTTTTGGGAAAAAAAAAAAAAAAAAAAAAAATACAATTAACCCAGTTCCTTCTCGATAACGAAAAAATTGCCATAATATCTAATAAATTTTCCACAACTTTTCGGTCCCCCTTAAGTAAACGCTTCTATCACTCAGCCGCTCCGACGAACGGAATTGCAAATGCTGAAATAACATAGTCAAGTGACATCGCAATTCTGCTGGAAGAATTACATATTTTTGGTATCCACTTTGGTAGAGAGTAGATATATGAATTTCCGAAAGAAAAAATTCCACCGTTAAACGAATAATCGTCAAATCAAAAGTCAATCGCGTGCAGTAAAATGACTCACCCTTAAGCGGAGATCGCCGACGGTCCAGACGCGGCTTGCAAAGTCGTTTGATGCTCCAAGGATGAGAGTACCGGCTGAATCAAAGTCAACGGACATAACGCCAGCGTTGCTACCCACCAGCATCCCCTTGCTCTCGTAAGCACCTGCAATTATATAATTTGCACAAATTACTCTCCGCTCGTACGACCTGCTATTCCTGTTCTGACAGTGTTCGGGAGGTTAAAGCACATCAGTGTGTAACGGTCCACCCCCTGGGTATGCCTAATTAAATTCATACCCTTGTTTAATTGCGAGGCCACGCGACACAAAGAATGCACGATTGTAATCTCTCGAGAATGAGAGTTCAGAAACGGTCCATCCGGAACGACCTTTAATAACGCCAGGCATCTCATCCAATTTTAAACGAGCCAATTAAATAACATTTACGTATCACGGCCGATTCACATTACGACAATATATACGTACATACGTATCTTTTAATGGGATCCACCAACTGTGCAACAGACGTATCTGGCTGATTCGTTAACACTAGATTTACGGACATTGGTTACCAAAGTCACCATAAATTGATAAAAAATAATATTTGATTTCTTTAACTTCAACACTTAAATTCCACACATCGATCATGCATCTTTAAATTACAACTGGCTAGTGCGAATTCGTAATTCGCACCTGTGCCGAGTTTAAGAGTTAAACATGAAATTTGAAATCCGTCAAATTTACGGGTTCCGTAAATCTAGTGTTAATATACATGGTGTCCCACGCAACTGGAACAGGCTGTATCGTTACCTCTAGAGCTTATCAGAAGTATCCATGGGCGTAGGTAACGCTTGTATATAATATGTAGTATCGTTAAAGAAACACGAGTAAAATTTGTTAACTCCTAGTCAGATATACTAGCCATTTGCTGGCGCTTTAATAAAATATACAGGGTGTCCCACGCAACTGGAACAGGCTGTACCTCCTAAACGGTTGGGAATAGAAGATGATGTTATGAGTGAAAGTTAAATGGCATCAGACGGTGCATAATATGCAACTAATTTTATGCACTTTTGTGTATCGGTGCATTAGAAAAATGCAACTGCACTTTTTTTTTTAATGGAAACCTACATTTTTGACTACACCAGTCGATGCAGTTTCTTATGATCTACATAAAAGTACTAACATACTTATGCTCTAAACTTATGCGTTAGGGAATTATCGAAGCTAAAAGTTCTCTGAATTGTTTTGGTCTCTCGGCATGTTATTCTAAGTGCTTACGTTATAACAAGTGTTCGAACGGTTCTCCATTGCAATTCAAGTGTTTTTCCATCCGCTTTTTGATGTTGCGCAACACATTCCTGATGTCGTTTTCCGTAATTTTGGATATTTCTTGCCGAATGTAATGGAACATAACGTAGGTACTCCGGAACACATGCCGAGA